TTGGATTGTATACCTGGATTATTGAGCATGGACTTTGTTGTTCTCATCCTCAGATTACCATATTTTCCACCATACACTTTGTACCGCCCTATAAGTCACATGAGTCCAAATAGTATAATAATCTATATAGTCCAATAAAATGGAAAATCCCATAAATACGTTGCTTCGCCGTATACGTCACATCTGTTATGCGTCACCGCTGACAACCCGAAAATGAGGGCTGAACCCGGAAATGTGGGCCGGTGTTGTGCCAAAAACCGATTGGCTGCCAAATGGTGGCCGCAGGAACGTGCACGGGAGAACTTTAACAAGAATTTAACATGACTAACACCTAAAAACAATTATTTGTTTACTCTAAATTATAGTAAAGGTGTGTCTCGTCTAACTTTTGCTTAATAAATGCACTTTGACGGTCAAATCAACTGCATCTCAAAAGTTGAATCGCGTTAGCGGAAACGCAGAGGATGAGTCGCTGCGCATTTATTCAAAATTTAACAAGATAAGCACCTAAAACAATTATTTGTTTGCTCAACATTATAGCAAAGGTGTGTCTCAGTTGAACTTTTACTTAATAAATGCACTTTAATGGTCAAATCGGCTTCATTTCGCCGGAGCGTCGCGGCAAAATGAAGCTGATTTGACAGTTGCTACAGGCGAGCTGGACTAAAGTGGCATCTACGGCAAGCCGATTGTGTCATTAATAAGACACTTTTCCGATTGTCGTTAATAGACACTTTTACCTAGTACATGGCACAATGGCATGCCATACAAAGTGCCATCTAGCGACTGAAAATGGTAGTGTTCAATATTTTCAGTCAGAATGAATGAAAACGGTCATATCGCAGCCAAAAATTAGTTTAGAAATATGGGAAAAAAATCCATAAATACAATCGCTTTGGCATGCAAGTCACAGGGCATGCAAATTATGCAAAAAGCCATGACTTATAAGGCGAAAAATACAGTATCTTAGATTTTAAACTCTGAATGAATGCGTGCTTCCTGCTGCCGTTCATGCCAAAGAATAATAGGCCTTGAAAAGTCCTTTTTGTATACAAATATTTAAAGGCCAAGTCCTAGTAAAGTTTGTGTTTTTATACAGTGCCTATGAGACAGACTAACTGACCACATTTTATTAAATTAACTTATCATCTGTTGCTTGTTTTCTAAAGGGGGGAAGCATTATGCACCTCTTTGAGGGCGGCAGGGATCCTCTTCTGCCTCCTGCTGAATGCAAAGGTAGCTCTGGTTCCTGGAGTTGCAGCTGCGGAGTTCATTGCACCTGATGAGCAAAAGCACAGAGAAGTTAAATACTGAGAAAATGCCTGAAACAGCTCATGTCTAATTATCAGGGATGTTTCAGTCTGACAGCTTAGAGGTTTCACGTGTTGACATCATGTAGTCAGACTCACTTTGCTTCTGAAGAGTATCAAAACAGTGGTCACACACTCGTGCTGGCTGGTTCTTCAAGTAAGCAAGGTAGCATTTATTTGAGGAGCAAATCTGGCACACCACCTGAGGGATGCAGAAACGAACTAACATCAAATATCGTCATCTTTTAAAGAACACTGCTCATTAGGGGTTGTATAGACTGATCAATTCTAGGACATCTCGCGAGTTTTTTAATTTCACGTCGACTGGTCCCAGTCTGTGATTGTGTCACGTGATCAGCGCCGGGCCGCTGGCTACAAAACGGATTCTTCCAAGCAGATGGAAGGTGAGGAGCAGGTCAAGTCTTCCCAAACAGGTAGAAATTCATCAACAGCGTGGACGGATTTCACTAAAGATGATGTTTTTAGTTTTATTTTATTTAATCCACTAAATAAAATAAAAACGGGTGTGCTCCACTGGAGAATCCACCACAGCGCACCACCACCGGTGGAGAATCCACCACCTCCACAGTGGTTTATTCCATTTAGTGGATTAAATAAAATAAAACTTTTGCAGCTTAATAATAGTTTTGGTTTTCCTGTTACTTATTTGTAGTATGGTAAATGGTAGGAGCACAAATATACGCTACCGATGTTTTGTTGTTCTTTTTTTGTAAATAATGACTTTTTTTTGCGTCTTGAGTTTCTATGACGTCATCAACTAGGCGACGTCAACTATTATCATGTTAATGTCGACTTTAAAAAAAAAAAGTAGTTGTTCAACCCCTACTGCTCATACTGTATATGTAAACTCTAACCAAAATTGTCTCCTGCAGCAAGGTATTCTTTATTGTTGCATGTCTCAGACTGCTCGTGTCCGTTAGCAGAATACATCATGAACCACGAGACCATTTTTATTGAAACGTTCAAAAAGTAATGATTGATTATTCATCGATAACTGACTTGTGTCAGCTTATTTAAACCATGTAGACAATTAAATACAAAAGGAACAAAATAAAGTTACGAAATAAATTAAAATTACAATCAAGATTGTTCCCCCAATCCCTTTTAGTTATCAATCATCAATTTATATCCATATAGTATTAAAATAAATTAAAAAAACAAAACAATAATAGACCATGTGCCTACATAAGGTACGAGTTATGATCAACATAATTGTTTCACGGCTCCATAACTTGTTTTTTGGACCTTAAACATAAAAATTGTCTGTTGATTTGACAAATATTCTGCTAAAATTAGTTGTGGTAGCTGAAAGTTATTCACAACACATACTTTGTGCATGGCATCTCGCAATATCATGAGATTGTGCATAATATTTTTGGGGTGTTGCCAAAATAGCTACAACTCCATTTATCACCTTAAAACAATGAACTCTGGCCTGAAATGCAGCGAGCGATGTGCATCCATTCAAGCAATGATAAAACTTTTTATTTATATGGTTTTGGAATATGTCTTACTCCAATTTTATATTTATTGCTAAGCTCAACTGAATGCCTGATTGGTGGCTCCTAGTATTTATTTTCTGATCAGATATGAATTGGGTTGCAAACATTTGTTTGCTCCTGGTGGGTGTCATTTCCATATCTGAGCATCCATTCATCAGCGCACCTTTCCACACGCACGGCAATGATGTCTCCTCCACGTCAGGGTGAACTCACTGGTGCAGATCATACACATGGTGGCCCGCAGGTCAGGGATCCAAATGGGAGCTTTGGATCCCAACGCTGCACCGTCACCAACGTTCCCCAGTTGGTCCTAAAAGCCAGAAAATAAAAACAAAGTGCTCAATTCACTCTGGCATACACTCGTGCAGACACCCCATAATAAAGCTCAGACACTGTAGACACAAAACCGTAGGAGTTTTTTTTTTTTAACCTCATCTGGATTAGCACAAGTAAAGCTAATTTTCTTCTTGGTGTGTTCACTGATGGCTGTGGAAATGGCTTCAAGCCATTCATCTCGCTCCGCGGCAGAACTACGGGAGAAGAAAAGAAGCAAAAAACCTGTTACGTACTTCAGAAGTGAGTTAACGTACTAAAAACCACTTTTCATTTAAATACCTGGCAGAGAGAATGAAAGAGCGCTCCACGCTCTCGATGTTCAGCTCGTTCTGGTAGGCCTCCTGACTCGGTTTGCTAACCTGCAATTATTTTCATTGTGAACACCTCATGGCTTTTTGTAAGAGAACATGCACACGGTTCTGTGACGAGCACAGGGAGAACGTCTCACCCTCATCCCAGACAGTGACAGCATGTTTTTAAGCTTCAGCTGTCCTGACTGCACAGGAATGGTGTAAAGCAGCGCGTCGTTAAACTAAAAGACAAAAAATAAGGAAGCACAGTTTATACATTAAAACAGTCAAACGGAGTTCACAAAAAGATAAAATAAAAAATACAGTAGTGATGAAGCAAACTGGATTTGCTCTAAAGGGACGTCTGATGGGACGGTGACCGTTTGGCGACTGCAGAATTCTGAGTATTCAGCCAGGTGACCAGTGAGCTGCACGGCCACATGTTACACAGGAACTTTGTAAAAATCCCAACCTACTTTTGTAAAACTATTCTTGGCTGTGCGTGCTGTTGCCCGTTTCTTACCAACCTCAACTCTGCACCCACCTTGGCTGCAGCCCCCACGTTTATGATTTAATCTGGTGAAATGCACTTTTAAAATTAAGATGGGCAGATTTGGACCAGTTTTTAAATAATCATCATCAGCATGGCCTGGAGCTCTAGGAGGAGGGTGGTGGTGCAAAGGTTACAGAAGGTGGGCCTGTGATGGGAAGATCGCCGGTTCAACAGACCGGACCAACAACGTCAAAATGTGGGTGGGAAAGGTGAAGCAGCCACACCTGCCTCCACCCTCATTTGCCCCTTGAGCAAGGCCCGTCACCCCCACCATCTGCTCCCCTGAGCGCCCTAGATGGCAGCTCTCTGCTCCACACAGAGGGCTGTGGTAGCATCAGGAAGGGCATCTGGCATAAAACCAGTTAAGTCTTCGTGTGAGTTGGTTCGCTGTGGCGACCCCTGAAGAAGAGAGCGGTCAAAAGAAGAAACAAAAATGGACTGGAGCTCTAGTTCAAGGCAGTAGCCACAGGTTTTCTGTTATCACAGAGCAACCAAGCAGCTGCCAAAATACACCTCTGAAGTTAACGAAGACTAAATTTAGAACATTAGAGAGATTTTGGCGACTCCACTGCAACTGCTGTTCACCAACTAGTTTTCAACCGTCACAGCCCAGAGAGATACTGGTCTAAATATTCAAGGATTTTTTTTTGGTCATACCAGCTCACATTTGTTTGTTTACAGTACAACATTTGGACTCAGGTCCCAGATCAAGAAGCCTAATAATTAAATAAACGCATACAAAAGAGTATAAATATATACACATGTACACACATACACACACGTGTGCGTGCATGTGTGCGTAAATAAATGAAGTAAAAAAAAAGGTAAGATGAGACTGAATTACTGTAAGTACAGCTCGAGTTCAGTACTAACAGCTGCTCTGAATGCTCCTCAGCCACCTGCTTGAGGGGAGGGGGAGCTGGAACAGACTGTGCAGGATGAGTGGAGTCCTTCATGATGCGGCGCACCTTCCCCCTGCATTGTGATGTGTAGAGGTCAGAGGTGATAGGAAGGCTGCTTCCCACAGTTGCAGCCTCCCTCTGCCATGCCACAAGGTGATGCAGGTGCACAGAACAAGCTCCACCACACAGCGATAGAAGCTCCTCAGAACAGAGCTCCCAAGTCCAGCTCTCAGAAGCTTCCTTCTTTCATGAACACAGAGTCCCCCCACCCCCGTGTTTATCCCGACCAATAGTCACGATCCACTCAGAATAACTGAGGACCGTTGGTCGAGTCCGGCACGTTGTTGTTGAGCCAGGTTTCCTTTAGACAAAGAACAGCATCGTTCTTCATCTCTGTAGAAACACATCCTCAGATGTAACAAGTCCATTTTGTTATCCTGTGAGTGGACAGAAAGAGAGTAGGACTCTGGTTTTTCTAGCCTTTAGCTGAGCTAACACGCCCTCTCGTTGCTCCTCTTCCTCTGCTGCGCCATTCCCTTGTCCTCAGGAGCCGCCGCCTGTCGAGTGCGGATTTTCTGGTGTAAAACAATTGCCAAATCTTTTGTACGAGTTCACTTGCTGTGGCAACCCCTGAAAGAAACTTACTGCAGCAGATCAAGTCATAATTGTGAGGGCGTTTCTCAAGGTGAGCGAAGGTGGGCAGAAAAATAAAGAGCGTGGCCAAGACTATAGTTTTACAAACCTTGCACATAGAAATAGGCTTTGATGTTTGAAACTGGGGACTTAAATAGGCTCGCTGGTCACTTGGTCACAAACAATCAGGGCTCAGTGAGACTACATTGATCATTTCAAATATTTTCTCGCACTTTTACTTTAATTTCGAGTCATCAAGTACCAGTATGCTAACAGTCATACCAGCTTTAGCCTCCAAAATATTTTACAAAGAGGTAATATTATGGTTCAAGAACAGAAAGTCAGAGACCACATAAAATGTTAGGCTTTGAACTAATCAGTGTGGACTCTCTGATATATGAATTCTTGAATCCAGCAGTACGTTGAAGCAGAATGTTCAGCTGTATTTGGCAAAAGCCCTGGACTTTGGACAGAGTCAGCAGCGTTTGTCCCAATTTATTTTTATATATTTATTGTTTTATTGTTTTCAAAACTCTGGCATAAGGTATTGGACAATATGCATTTCTTCCAGGAATGCTCATTTTATTATGCATTTCTTACAAAATGTAGCAATAAAGAGAGAGAATATTGATTATTGTGTACTGTACCAAGAAGAACTTTCTGGGCTGCATCACTTTCCTGGACCTCTTCATCAGGACACCCTCTTTGAGAAAGATCTGAGCACAAAAATAACAAAAAAGTGGTTCAATTAAAAAGTTGCGTTTACAAGCCTAACATTTAAGAGTACAGGTTTGCAGGTTTCAATAAAAAGCAGAATTAGTTTCTTGGATTGAAGATGCTCGTTACATTTATTGCTTGAATAAAAACAAAGACATTATTAATTAGTGAATAGTCACACCAATATTTATACTTCTATAAAAGGTTTATATGTCTATTGTGATATACAGTTAACCTTTCTGAAGACTAGATTTAAAACTAAGTTTTTATGGCTGTACCCGTCCAGGCTGGATTATCTCCTGGTTGCCACTCAGACAGCACTGCACCTGCATCAACTTCTGGAAATTATCCTGAAGAAAAAGAAAACCAGCAGAAATCAGTAATACTGGCCAACATTTTATCAATATATATAAAATAAAATGTTTTATTTTGGCTCTCACCCCATGTTTTATGATGTCATTGGAATGATTAGCCACCTCTTTCACTAAAGCAAGGGCAGCTGAACGGATACAAATACGTTTTAGATCATTGGGTTCTTCATCTGCAGAAGCAGTCAGTATGTTGTAGTATACAAGTACCTTACCTTGAGTGTCTTTGTAGTCATTCGAGTCTTTGGACAGGTTTTTTAAGTAGTCTAAAACAAAACATTTCAAATTTAGATTAATTTAAAAAAAAAAAAAAAAAAAGTACAAGTCCTTCTCAAAAAATTAGCATATTGTGATAAAGGTCATTATTTTCCATAATGTAATGATAAAAATGAAACTTTCATATATTTCAGATTCATTGCACACCAACTGAAATATTTCAGGTCTTTAATTGTTTTAATACTGATGATTATGGCATACAGCTCATGAAAACACAAAATGCCTGTCCCAAAAAATTTGCATATTTCATCCCACCAATGAAAGACAAGTGTTTTTAATACAAAAAACGCCAACCTTCAAATAATCATGTTCAGTTATGCACTCAATACTTGGTCGGGAATCCTTTTGCATGAATGACTGCTTCAATGCAGCGTGGCATGGAGGCAATCAGCCTGTGGCACTGCTGAAGTGTTATGGAGGCCCAGGATGCTTCGATAGCGGCCTTAAGCTCATCCAGAGTGTTGGGTCTTGCGTCTCTCAACTTTCTCTTCACAATATCCCACAGGTTCTCTATGGGGTTCAGGTCAGAAGAGTTGGCAGGCCAATTGAGCACAGTAATACCATGGTCAGTAAACCATTTACCAGTGGTTTTGGCACTGTGAGCAGGTGCCAGGTCGTGCTGAAAAATGAAATCTTCATCTCCTTAAAGCTTTTCAGCAGATGGAAGCATGAAGTGCTCCAAAATCTCCTGATAGCTAGCTGCATTGACCCTGCGCTTGATAAAACACAGTGGACCAACACCAGCAGATGACATGACACCCCAGTGACTGTGGAAACTTGACACTGGACCTCAAGCAATGTGAATTCTGTGTCTCTCCTCTTCCTCCAGACTCTGGGACCTTGATTTCCAAAGGAAATGCAAAATTTACTGTAATCAGAGAACATAACTTTGGACCACTCAGCAGCAGTCCCAGGTCAGGCGCTTCTGACGCAGTCTCTTGTTCAAGATTGGCTTGACCTGGGGAACGCAGCACCTGTAGCCTATTTCCTGCACACGCCTGTGCACGGTGGCTCTGGATGTTTCTACTCTAGACTCAGTCCACTGCTTCCGCAGGTCCCCCAAGGTCTGGAATCGGCCCTTCTCCACAATCCTCCTCAGGGTCCGGTCACCTCTTCTCGTTGTGCAGCGTTTTCTGCCACACTTTTCCCTTCCCACAGACTTCCCACTGAGGTGCCTTGATACAGCACTCTGGGAACAGCCTATTCGTTCAGCAATTTCTTTCTGTGTCTTACCCTCTTGCTTGAGGGTGTCAATGATGGCCTTCTGGACAGCAGTCAGGTCGGCATCTTACCCATGATTGCGGTTTTGAGTAATGAACAAGGCTGGGAGTTTTTAAAAGCCTCAGGAATCTTTTGCAGGTGTTTAGAGTTACGTCATTGATTCAGATGGTTAGGTTAATAGCTTGTTTGGAGAACCTTTTCATGATATGCTAATTTTTTGGGACAGGCATTTTGGGTTTTCATGAGCTGTATGTCATAATCATCAGTATTAAAACAATTAAAGACCTGAAATATTTCAGTTGGTGTGCAATGAATCTGAAATATATGAAAGTTTCATTTTTATCATTACATTATGGAAAATAATGACCTTTATCACAATATGCTAATTTTTTGAGAAGGACCTGTAAATCTGACCCAACACTGGCTTTTAAGTACTTTGTTTTTTATGTAGTAAATTCTTGGAAGGATTAGGAAATGAAATCCTGGATAAAAACAAAAAAAAGGTCTGCAGGTTCTTACACAACATAAATATACAAAAGTGGCAAGGAACATTCCTCACATTTTGGTGCTGTGGATAAGACCTAATCCAACCAAAGCACAAAACATCAAGCGTACTCAACTTAAAGCTTCTGTTACGTCACTAAATCAGATTTGGGCAGCACTTTAAAAATCTTATTAAATGAGGACCGAGGAGGCAGGACGAAAACTTAAAGCTGCTTTCTGGACAACAAAGGACAGCATGGCACTTTGATGAAGCTCAAAGTCTGCTTGGACAAGCACTGTGTAACTACGGTGGCCCAGAGGTGTAAATGAACAACATTTGAAAAACAGAATCACATTAAGCTAAAGCGGAAGTGGCCGGAATCACAAGAGGAAAAAACGGAATTACATTAAGCAAAACCAAAAATGGTGGGGTTTGTTTTTAGTGTAATTTTTTTTAGTTTATTAAGGTATTTATTTATTACGTTTATTTATTGAATTTTTTCAAATGTAATTTTGTTTTTTCAAATGTAATTCAGTTTTTTCAAATGTGACTATGGCCACTTCTGCTTTAGCTTAATGTGATTCTGTTTTTCAAATGTTGTTCATTTACACCTCATGGCCACCGTAGTTTAACAGTCCATAACAAGATATGAATGATGTGACGTTTGATTTGTATAATGACCAATTTGGACTGAAAACTGTAAAAATACCAGTTTATTAAGTAAAAGTACCTGTGAGGAGCAGCTGATACTGAGGAATTCTCTGAACTGGTTTCAGTAGGTAATGCTTCAGAGCCAAGTTGGCACAGCGTGGACTCGCCTAAAACATACATATATATTTTTAGGAACACATACATCCTATTGGTCACACTTAAACAATGAAACATCAGCCAGATCAAAAACACGCCTCATTACAGAGAGGAAACCAGTTCAGCGAGGCAGCACTACCTCAAAGTCTTTGACGACTGCCCCAAACGCAGAGTTCTTCTTGGTCTGCTCTTCCAGTAGAGCCACATTCTTGTCAAACTCACGGATGTAGGTGGAGTACATCTTTAAGAAGGGCCCTTTCTTCAGGAAGATGTCAGCAACCTGGGAGTCCTCATCCCTGCAAGAAATAAGAGGAACATTATGTAGATGAGCAGTGTCTCTGGAAGTCATGTGTTCAAAATGTGTTTATATGACAGAGTACAGTGGTCACTTGTTTATCATGGGGGATCCATACCCTGAAGCCCCGTGATAAGTGAAAAACCGTGAAGTAGGAATAGTAGTACAAGTTTATTTTAGTATTTATATCTATCTATCCATCCATATCTATATATCTATATCTATATCTATATATATATATATATATAAATAATTTTTTTAATTTAATTTTATTTATTTATTTTTTATTAAGGTGTTTTAAACCCTTCCCACATTCTTGCAATATTCCAAACAGTGTTTCTAAACTTTAAATGAGTGCAGAATGTCATGATTTCAGCTCTCTGCCTCCGGCTGCTCTCTGCCACCTGCCAGCGCTCTCGGCCACGCCCACTTCTCCGCTGCAGAGCGGAGGTCTGACACGCTGTGCAGGAGGAAGCTTCTCCTGCAGCGTCAGCTGCCCACAGCTGCAGGAGGGGCAGCACACGGGTGCAGCAGGGGCTAAATAATTTAAAATACTTTATTTTAAATAAAAAAATTCCATGACGATCGTGTGGCTCATCCATCAATCAGCCAATTGTGTGTCATGTCCAATCTTATTTTGAAAAACAGTGATAGAGTCCGTGAAAAATGAACCGCGAAGTAGCGAGGGACTACTGTGTTCCCTTAGCTTCAAAAGACGACAGCATTTGGTGCAAAGGTTGAGCTGCAATGTTTGACGTTTTGCACACAATTCATCCTAAAAGCTCCAATATTAAATAAACTTTTAAAGAGATGGGCTGATTTTCAAATACAGAAAGTCTAATTAAAATTAGCATGTTTATGAATTCATGCAACAATCACAACCATTATTTTTACACTAGCATCCAATGACCGTCAGAACGGTTTGTCTTTTATTCTGTCAAAAAATGCACACCGACTGGAAAAGCATCATTAGGACGTGACTTGGCGTGTCTAGATGCTAATATGGAAAAGATGGTTATGGTTGAATGTTCTAAAACAAACCAAATAATTTTTGAAGAGTGCTTTTGCTAAAATTGCACATTCCCACCATAAACATGTGTAAAGAGACATTTTATAAGGAAGTTATTTATACCACTGAGTCACTCTCTGCTTCAGCTCTATGAGCAAGTTTTGGTTGAGCTCATACAGCTGTGGCAGGTAGTACAAGATCTGGTTGAGAAGACGCTCCTCGATCACCGGCTTTCCGCTCTGCTGAGACGCTTTGTTCACCGACTCTCGGAAATCCTGCAAGTCAAAAAGACCGATAACGTCCACAGTTGGAACTGATACACACTCACAAAAACTGAAAGTATGCCCAATATGGGAGTTAATTACTCAGAGATTCTTCAGGTTGAAAAAAAAAAAAAAAAAAAAAAACTAGCGCAGGTTTAGCAACTGTCATATGCAAATCATGCAACAAGGGACTCAGACTAAAGACATCCAAGTAAAGAAGATGAAGAAAGAGGAACTCTTCTGCCTCATGACCTACACATGCAGCTGACTCGCATTAAACAATCTTAACTTTCCTGAAAGAACTGTGAATCAGGACTAAAACAGGAAAGAGGTGAAGCCTGAAGGCTCACTTTGGGTGTCTGATGATGATGTGAAGGTTTTTGGGTGGTTGATGGGAACACGTGGCAAATAAACCAACTCAGAGTCAAGAAGTCATGTGGTCAACATCTGTGAACATTTCCTGCTACAACAGCTGGCACTGAAGAGCTTGTGTGGAAAACAAAGGGGCAGAGAATTTGAAATAAATATTCATGTTTTATAATAAAAAGGATGATGCAGACATGACTGTCAGCAGGAAGTACATAATTTTAGATGAAACTGATGAACATGCAATGTTTCAAGCTGACAAAGAACTGACGAATTCAAGTGGGCTCATGTTCTTGTGTTCACAGCAGAGATTTCTTTATAAAAATCATCATATATTTGCCAAAGGAAAAGCAGTTATATGTAGTTAGCATTTTGAAAGACTTATAACCGAAGTATACAGAACTAGTATACAGGGTCTGGCCATAAAATTAGAATATCATGAAAAAGTTGATTTATTTCAGTAATTCCATTCAAAAATGAAACATTTATATTATATTCATTAATTACACACAGGCTGATATATTTCAAATGTTTATTTCTTTTAACGTTGATGATTATAACTGACAACTAATGAAAACCCCAAATTCAGTATCTCAGAAAAATAGATTATTACTTAAGACCAGTAAAAAAAGGATTTTTAGAAATGTTGGCCAAGTGAAAAGTATGAACATGAAAAGTATGAGCATGTACTTCATTCAATACTTAGTTGTTGCTCCTTTTGCCTGGATTACTTCAACAATGCAGCGTGACATGGAGTGGATCAGTCTGTGTCACTGCTCAGGTGTTATGAGTCCAGGTTGATCTGATAGTGACCTTCAGCTCTTCTGAATTGTTGGGTCTGGTGTATCACATCTTTCTCTTCACAATACTCCATGGAATTTCTATGGGTTTAAGGTCAGGAGAGTTTGCTGGACAATTAAGAACAGGGATACCATGGTCCTTAAACCAGGTACTGGTAGCTTTGGGACTGTGTGCAGGTGCCAAGTCCTGTTGGAAAATGAAATCTGCATCTCCATAAAGTTGGTCAGCAGCAGGAAACATGAAGTCTCAAAATTCTGGCTGTGTTGACCTTGGACATCAGAAAACACAGTGGACCAACACCAGCAGATGACATGGCACCCCAAACATCAATGACTGTGGAAACTTGACACTGGACCTCAAGCAACATGGATCCTGAGCCTCTCCTCTCTTCCTCCAGATTCTGGGACCCTGATTTCCAAAGGACATGCTAAATTTACTTTCATAGAACCCAACATAACTTTGGACCACTCAGCAGCAGTCCCAGGTGAGACACTTCTAACACTGTCTCTTGTTCAAGAGTGGCTTGACACAAATAATGTGACAGCTGAAACCGTTGTCTTGCATACTTCTGAGCATGGTGGTTCTTGAAGCACTGACTCCAGCTGCAGTCCACGCTTTGTGAATCTCCCCCACATTTTGGAATGGGTTTTGTTTCACCATCCTCTCCAGGGTGTGGTTATCCCTATTGCTTGTACACTTTTTTTTCTACCACATCGTTTCCTTCTCTTCGCCTCCGATGATCTCATGCTGCTGATTATTTCATGTTGCTGTGTTCATTAGTCCTCATCTGCTCAAACAGACTCCTGTTCATGCTTTTGTTGTTTTGCCACATTGTTTTTGTACTATTAGTGCTTAGTGTATTCCTATGCCCCTTTTCCATTAGTAATGGTACAGCCCGACTGGACCCGACTCAGCCCGGTTCTAAGGCTTTTCCATTAGTAACGGTATGTAGAACCTGTCCCTATTTTCAGGACCCTTGGCTCTGTTGTTCTGACCGGGCTGATTAGGTATGAAAACATGACATCAGAACACGGTCAGTCACTGATTGGTCGGGGGCGGAGTCACTAGATCTTCCAGAAACTTTTCAAAACATTGATCCGCCATTTGCAATTTCTCAGACCAGAGCAGCAGCTGGACTTATTTTAAAGATGTTAAAAACAATAATGGCAACACCTTGGTCTAATACAGACGTTTATTGTGCATGGTGGCCGATGACAAAATTCAGAGCGAGCTGGATGGAGCTCTGCTGGTCTCCCCGGTCCTAGCCCCCGGAGCCTCGGAGCCAGGCCGGGGAGGGCGTCATCTCCCCGGCTCTGAGTTCCGCAGGTCACTACGGAAGATCCTCTGTGGTGCTGACTCAGGGCTCGGGCATTGTGTGCTCAGAGCTCCGCTGGTCACCGTGAAGGATCATACGAGCTGGTGACTCACAGAAGGCTGTTGCCAGACCCCTGCCTCACGTAATCATGAAGGCCGAACGCCGATCCCGGCAGACAGGCGGACCAGGATGGGTCTGGGACAGACGGTGGAAGCAATTTTTAAATAAACTAATATTTTGTTTTTATAAATAAAAATTTTTTTTTTTTTAATCTTTGAAGCGATTTTTTTTTTTAAACTAATTTTTTTTTTAACGCATAAAATGTTTGTAAAAATCGCTTCCACGGTCCGTCCCAGACCCGTCTCTGTCTGCCTGTCTGCCAGGGTCGGGGTTCGGCCTTCATGATTACGCGAGACCGGGGTCTGGCAACTGCCTTCTGTGAGTCACCAGCTGAGCTCGGAGCTGGGAAGATGACACAAGACTTTAGTTTAGGTTCCGAGACTCCGGGGGGAAGAGGACCCGGGTGAGACCAGCAGAGCTGGTCATAAAAAAATATATATACTTTATTTATTTTTTTGCGTTGAAGATGAAAAAAATAATAAAATAACCGGTGCTGGCTTTATCATGAAATCCTGTTTTCGCTTTAATGACTTTTAAAGTTAACTCAGCTGAAAATCATAAAAATACACAAAATTATTGGATCTCTCAGGAATATTTCCCTCAAACACGTTTAAAGAAGAGATACAGCCTTTAGTTCAACTTTATTCTAACCCACAATTGTACAAATCACAAAACAAGAACTTTAAAGCAAAGCTAAAAATAAAATCTGTGAACAAGAAACAAAACCACACATCTAAGTTGAACAATAAAAGTAGACACAATGAGTGCAACTACATCAAATGATGAAAACCTACAAAATTTTTAATATAGATGTTTTGTAGAATCTGGTTCATCAGAGATTTAATGGTGAACTAAAGTTCATTAGCAGGAGTCTGTCTATCTCTCTCTCGCTCTCTCTGTAGTATATTCTTAGCTCATGACTCGGATCTTAATGTTTTTTAGAATTTGTGTTTTTGTTGGCTGTAACTGGGACCCTGCATACATAGTTTCATCCCACCTTATGCATCACATGTGGTGTGTATGACAAATAAATCTCTGACTCTTGACTCTATTAATGTGCTTGAACACAGAGCTCTGTGAACAGCCAGCCTCTTTAGCAATGACCTTGTGTCTTGCCCTCCTTGTGCAAGGTGTCAATGGTCGTCTTCTGGACAACTATCAAGTCAGCATCTCCCCCATGATGGTGTAGCCTCCAGAACTAGACAGAGACCATTTAAAGACCTTTGCAGGTGTTTAGTTAATCAGCTGATTAGACTGTGGCACAAGTGTCTTCAATTTTGAACCTTTTCACAATATTCTCATTTTCTGAGATACTGGTTTTCATTAGTTGTCAGTTATAATCATCAACATTAAAAGAAATAAGCATTTGAAATATATCAGTCTGTGTGTAATGAATGAATATAATATACAAGTTTCACTTTTTGAATTACTGAAATAAATCCCTTTTTCATGATATTCTAATTTTATGACCAGCACCTGTAAATCACTTCAGCATGCTCAGAGCTGTGCAAGAGAGTGTTCATCTTTATTAGAGGCTCTTCCTACACGTTCTACAGGGACTCAAACACTTCCTGTCCGCTGCACAGAGACGAGCGGGCCCATGACTCAGTGTGCTCTGATTTACCGACCGTTTCCTCTCCAAACATCTGCTCATTTGAAAACACTCAACTTTGTAAAATTTAAGTTTAAGTCATGAAACTGAGCAGGTACAGAAGTCGCCCCTGCCGTATAATGAAGCAGATCATTTACATGATTCTTGTTGGATACGTTTGATTTTTACTTCTTGTTCCTCTTTGAGCTTGATATACACCCAGTCACCAGCTGCAGATAAGGTCATGTCCAAGTTATGACGGGTTTACAGCCGTGTTTCTGGATGAATACTGTATAACTACATAATGTAATAAGTTTTATATCACGTAAAATAAAAGACGAGGCATTTTCCCCAAACACTTGATCTAGAAAAGGTTTGGTTTTTAGAAACGGTATGATCGTTTTGAAAGTAATGACCCAAAACAAATGCAACAAAAACACTAGAGAGTCTGATAATGTTGCTGTGAAACATCTAAAACCTCCATTGGTTCACGTGCAATGCTTCTGTTGTGCACCGATTAGGATTTTTAAAAAGTAAAATGGGTTCAGTAAAGACTTTAAATATTTAAAGTCTCGTTAAAAAGAACCAATTCAAATAATTAATGCAAATGCAAAGATTGTCCTTGTTTGTTTGTTTGTTTTTAACGCCAGCACCTGGTAGCACATACGTATGCACATTATTGGATTTTGCAGTTGGGGTGTTTTTGTGGGAGCATATCCATCATCTAACTCCACTCCCCAAGAAAAACAGTTTCAAGAAAAGCAGCTCAGTCTCAGTGGTCTGTTTGTCACAGTAGTTTATTTTGAAAGGGTTATAAAGTGGAAACTATGATCGGGGGTAAGATCAGCTTCACTGACATATTGTTCACGTCTCCCTCCACACTGGACCAGTGAAGAGAAAGAAATTATTTCAGGAAAAGTGACTAATTATTGACAAAAGTATAAATGAATCACCGCAGATTATAGATGGAAGCAGCAACATTTACATCTAACATTTCCGACTGTACGTGGGTCCATCAGTACATATGAAGTGGGTATTTTACACAACAGTAAAGGCACTACGTACACACTAGATAAGAGATCTAAAAAGTTAATCTGCTTTATGTTAAACTGCAGTAAAAGTTTCAGTTTCAAAACTTGAGCCTTGTTAAAAAAAGGAGATGCGATACAACAGCAGATGTTAATAATATTTTATTTAAAAAGTGCCTTTCAGGACACCCAAGGACACTTAATTAAAGACAACATTTAAATGTTGCACATTTAAATCCAGTCGTTTCCATGTCTCCAGTATCAAATTAAAATTGAAAAATCTTTTGCAAATAGTAAATTAGCTTAATCTGTTTAGATGTTTTAAGATTGGAATTAAAGATTTGTGTGAAACAGCAACGTGTTGCAAGCTCTCATTTTTAATTTTACATAATTTTCCCTCTTTACTGGTGATGTAATGGAGAGTTGACCTCAAAGTAAAAAAACTTTTAATATTGGTAATCAAATATTAAGTTTATTTATTTATTACATGTCTGTGCAAGTTCTGACGATGTCAGCAATTACCAGGTAGATTTTATAACATTTGTAAACATTTATAAACTTCAGGCTGGATCCTAATGGCTGCCAATCACCATGTAAAAAACTGTAAATTTTTTTTTAATATAGCGCCAAGTCACAACAGAAGTCATCTCAGGGCACTGAACAGAAACATTCATATATTTAAAATAAGTTAACAATATTAATCTGAGGAGCAGACTGCTTCGAGTTTAACTCCATCACAGAACTCTCATCTTGAGCAAGCACTAAGGCGACAGTGGAAAGAAAAAACTCCCTCATGAGGAAGAAACCTTGAGCAGAACCAGGCTCAGGACAAGCGGCCATCTGCTTCGACTGGCAAATATTGTCAATCTTTCTGATTTATTAGTGATTATCACTATTTTATTACAAAGATATTACAGGAGTACACATTTGTCAAATTTTATTTTTGTGCCTATCAAAATTTGAATATTGTGCTGGTCTTGGTACGCTAAAGTTTAAAATGGGCTATTGTTCACTAGGAAACATTTGGGTCAAACCAAACCAAAATTATTGCATCTGGTTTCTAATTTTGTTCATGCACTTTGTTATTGAATAAAGATACGCTGCCTTGTAGATGCTGAACAGCTCCAGCATGTTTACAGCTCACATCCATACAAATCTGCAAATATAAACCGCTAATGCACAACCGATTAGATGGAAAAAAATTGAACATGAAATATTACAAAATAAACTGGAGAACCTACATTGTCTGTTTTTCTCAAATTATCATAATGATCAATGGCAAAAGGAAACGTGTTTTCGACTGACCTGACTAAATCTTGAGCGCGCTTTCAGTAAGGATTGCACAATTTCCTCTCTTGTAGCACCACATGGCTTGGCAGCTTAGTTTACTTCTTTTTTAACACTCGTTATATGAAATAATAATATTTGGGTCAAGGTAGCTCAAAGTTCAGTGCCATGGTCTTGTTCCTGAGGCTGTGGGTTTGAGCCCAGGAAGCATAAGGAAAGTGTTGGTGGAATTTTGGTAAAGATTTATGGATGTTTATAACTGCTAATGTTAAATTAACGTTGAACCATGTGTGAGAGTTCAAAGAGGTGTTTTGCTCTCAGAGAGAAGCCTGCAGGCACCTGATGCCTCAGAGTCTGTGAGCTGAGAGGCCGAGGTCATCGTGCTCATAAGAGTTTATAATCAGAATCAGAATAAGCTTTATCATCATTGTACCAGAATACAGTGAGATTATGTTCCTACAGCCGTCCGAAAGATGGGCGGCGTGCACGTTGCTGCTGCTACAGGAGCGTGGCCTCTTATCCTTTATCAGAATACTTTTCAGGTAGAAAAAGGTAAAAGGCCATGAAGATGAACAGTGGGATTACAAAAAAATCATCTCTTCACACCTTGTCCTTATCAGGACACGATTTAAGACATAAAAAAAACTACCAGCAAGCACATTTATAAACATTAGATATGCATTTGGCGTCAAGACGGTGAGATTTGTCCATGAAGCACTTCCAGATAGTCCATTGTCCTGATAAGATGTTGGTCAGCTGGCAGTTCGGGGGTGGGGGGTGATAGACAAAGCTTTTTCCTTAATTTACCCATGTCCCCGGAGAAATTTGACAGTCAGCCCACTTTCAAGGAAAACGGGGGAGTCAGATTCAGATAAGCCACAATTGTTGATTTCTTCAAGCAGACTTTTTTTTTTCTTTTGTCAGCCTTGAGTCCTGCTGGAACTTTTGATCCAAAATGGCATGATTTGTGGGCATTCCACTGGTCCGTGCCATGAGCCTTCTTCAAGGTCATCTCCATCATGGTGGTGGGTCCTACAAGCCACAGGTGGCCTGCAATTTTCATAAATCACTTCCATCTTACGGTCTAGTTCGAAAATCAGCTGATTTTGAGTCCTCGTAGCACGAACCAAACCTTCACAGAAACTCTGCAGTTTTGTCATGGCCGAAACTGCTGCCAGTGCCCTCTTCAAAAGCCGATAACAGGAACCCACCGATGCCAAAAAGCTGAAACCTTGCTAACCTTGCTATTCCAATAAACATCTTCGGCGTCCTCCTGAGACAAAGCGGAAAGACACTTCAGCTCCCACATTCCCCATGGATCCATGACGTATCCTGAAACGCGAGTCTCAGCAGGACATGAGGGCTCTCCAGGACCCTGTCGCTTTGTTGAAAACATTGTCGATTGCATTGAAAGTTCAGCTCACAAGATCCATAATAGTATTTTTCGTTCAGAAGATGTCTAACAGGAGCTCCGAGACACAGACAGAAAGCAAAAAAGCAAGAGGAAGAGGAGAACGGGAGGGAGAGAAAAGGTGGCTGCCTTGTGCAAGAACAAGAGCAGAAAAAAAAAAAAAAAAAAACCTTCTTGTATAACGTCTGGCGCAGATCTTCGTGACCGGGCTCCAATGAAACATCTGTGACAGCCTATTGTGAACTCTGCCCTTGCAAGTAAACTGGATTGAAAAAAATCTTCTCCTGTCGTCGTGTGTGGGTTTTTTTATGTACCGTAAGTAGATAATACAAGGATGTTTTTATCCAACAGAAAGGTCATCCAATGTAAAACTATTGCCAAATAGCTCGCTGTGACGACCCCCGCAGAAAGTCCTTTTGTTTTGTTTTTCATTACCTTCTGACATCATCAAATCACTTTTTATTCCATACTTTGTTTTTTGACTTTAAAACATTTACTCTAGCCAGAAATGTTCGTTAAAGCTGACCCTACCTTTCTACACTTGGCAAATTTAGCAGTGACATTTTTACACTTGCGATTTTAAATGTAAAATTTCACTAATTAAAGTTTTTAAGGTTACATTTTGGCACGATTACTACAAGTGAGTTAGCATGCTAAAGTTAGCGTTAAGGTAAGAAACGTTAGCATGCTAACATTAGCATGTAGTTAAACAGGTGTCCCGCAGAGATATTAAAGTGTTGTATCTTTGGTTCGTTTGTTTTTGTCTTAAGCTTTTGTTATCTGTTAGCCAATATAACCGGTCACTATGGCTTTGCAGTACTGTATAATTAAAATGTTATCAGACAAAACCACAGTGGGGTTGAAAAAAAAAAGGCAAAGCAGCTTAACAAGAGTGGAAAAATAAAAGGTTACAATTAAGGGCTGGGCTTGTTGCTCTTTAACAAACCAACATCTACATTCCATTCAGTGTTTTGTCACAAGTCAAACATGTTTAGGATGTGCAGAAAGGGAACGAGCACCTTTTGGTGACTGATTGGTTACAGATTTCTCAAAACGTGACAAAGAGACAAAGTTAGTTTGTCTGTACAGCTCTGTACTGTCATGTTTTCATCAGACTGGTCTGTAGCTGATGGTCCAGGGAAAACCATAAAGAATGTGAACTTAAGAGTTCCTCTGTTCAGGGTGTGCCCAAACTCCAGGATAATTAAATACACATGGAGACTGAGCTCACTGCAGGCCAACACAGTCAAAGGATACAGAATATTCTTCCCGTTTGTCACAGCAAAGTAAGATTTTTGTTTTTCACATGAACCAAAAAGCACCTCAAAAGGTGACGTGTGGTTACTTACCACGTGCAGAAGCTTCAGAACGTCAACAAACCTGCATGAAGAAGAAAATGAAGTTAAATGAGCAGGTCATTTGTCTTTTTTATGTTTTTATCTAACACTGTTTTCTGTTTTGTTATTGTACATTTTAGCTGGGCTATTATTCTCATGGAGACGTTTGATTATGAACCACCTACAGGCGTTTCTAGAAATGTTTCCAAAACATTTATGGTTTATTAATTTGGGTATAAAAACTATATTTTTTATCTAAAATTAAAATAAACTAATCTCAAAAACATAGATCGTAATCCTTTAAACCAAACTTATCTGAACAGAACAATACCATCAGCTGTGTACTAGAAAGCACAAGTCCCATTTTGCATGAAAAAGTTAAACAAAAATAACTTACACACTCTCAGAGGACATGATTTCTGTAGCGATGTGTTGTATATTGCTTTTTTTTCTTGCAATATGCACCTAGGAAAGATGCAAAAACACATTTAATGTTTGTGTAACAAACTGAACGACTGCCATCAGTACAGTAAGATAAGAGTATCAACTACTGGTGCACAATATCAGTTACAAACAACTGTTTTTCGTATAAAACAAATACTGTCAGATGATTCATTTTGATAAATGCATTTCGTAAATTTTACAGTGAAAACTCTTCACCATGCTTCCTTCGGACTGCTCGGGGTCACCTTTACTTGACACAGAACTGCTGTCTTCTTCGTCGTCATCATCATCTGAGGAGTTGGCTCCGGTATCATCCTCTGAGAAGGTGTCATTAAAGACAGTCACGTCCTCATCGCCTGAACATCTGATGAAAGAAAACACAGATATGGTGAAAACAAGCTGCAGGCCGAAATGCAAACATAACGTGCCCCTGACAACATTATTAAAAAATACCAAATATAGCACTGACGCAAGGTTAACAAACAAGGATCCAGCACCGACTGGAATAAACAAAATATGTACAGGTGCTGGTCGTAAAATTAGAATATCATGAAAAAGTTGATTTATTTCAGTAATTCCATTCAAAAAGTGAAACTTGTATATAATATTCATTTATTACACACAGACTGATATATTTCAAATGTTTATTTCTTTTAATGTTGATGATTATAACTGACAACTAATGAAAACCACAAATTCAGTATCTCAGAAAATTAGAATATTACTTGAGACCAATAAAAAAAATGATTATTAGAAATGTTGGCCAACTGAAAAGTATGAACATGAAAAGTATGAACATGTACAGCATCAATACTTAGTTGTTGCTCCTTTTGTCTGGATTACTGCATCAATGCAGCGTGGCATGGAGTCGATCAGTCTGTGTCACTGCTCAGGTGTTATGAGTCCAGGTTGATCTGATAGTGGCCTTCAGCTCTTCTGAATTGTTGGGTCTGGTGTATCACATCTTCTTCTTCACAATACTCCATGGATTTTCTATGGGGTTAAGGTCATATGAGTTTTCTGGACAATTAAGAACAGGGATACCATGGTCCTTAAACCAGGTACTGGTAGCTTTGTCACTGTGTGCAGGTGCCAAGTCCTGTTGGAAAATGAAATCTGCATCTCCATAAAGTTGGTCAGCAGCAGGAAGCATGAAGTCTCTAAAACTTCTGGCTGCATTGACCTTGGACCTCAGAAAACACAGTGGACCAACACCAGCAGATGACATGGCACCCAAACATCACAGACTGTGGAAACTTGACACTGGACCTGAAGCAACATGGATCCTCTGCCTCTTCTCTCTTCCTCCAGATTCTGGGACCTTGATTTCCAAAGGAAATGCAAAATTTACTTTCATCAGAGAACATAACTTTGGACCACTCAGCAGCTGTCCAGTCCTTTATGTCTTTAGCCCAGGTGAGACGCTTCTGATGCCGTCTCTTGTTCAAGAGTGGCTTGACACAAGGAATGCGACAGCTGCAACCCATGTCTTGCATACGTCTGTGCATGGTGGTTCTTGAAGCACTGACTCCAGCTGCAGTCCGCTCTTTGTGAATCTCCCCCACATTTTGGAATGGGTTTTGTTTCACCATCCTCTCCAGGGTGTGGTTATCCCTATTGCTTGTACACTTTTTTCTACCACATCGTTTCCTTCTCTTCGTCTCTCTATTAATGTGCTTGAACACAGAGCTCTGTGAACAGCCAGCCTCTTTAGCAATGACATTTTGTGTCTTGCCCTCCTTGTGCAAGGTGTTAATGGTCGTCTTTTAGACAACTGTCAAGTCAGCAGTCTTCCCCATGACTGTGTACCTACAAAACTAGACTGAGACCATTTAAATGCCTTTGCAAGTGTTTTGAGTTAATTATCTGATTAGAGCATGGCACCAGGTGTCTTCATTTTTGAACCTTTTCACAATATTCTAATTTTCTGAGATACTGAATTTGAAGTTTTCATAAGTTGTCAATTATAATCAACATTAAAAGAAATAAACATTTGCAATGCATCAGTCTGTGTGTAACGAATGAATATACAAATTTCACTTTTTTCGAATGGAAGTACTTAAATAAATCAACTTTTTCATGATATTATAATTTTATGACCAACACCTGTATATTTTCTGTGACTGTACTGAAAGATGGCAAGTGGTTTAAAATGAACACAGTTGCCTCAGCACATTCTCTGGAAGACAGACTGTTGAGAGATGCTGTGGCAGAAACGATACAAGCCAATACTGAGACAAGAACATCTCAACTGTGTGTTTTTATATATTATCAAAAATCAAAGATTCAATAATTAGAGATGATTCTTTACCACGATGAAAATAGCAGAATATATGTATCACATCACTAAGTCTTACTTTTCCTCACAAAAAGAAACAAAAACAATGTTAACATAAATGGTAAATATTGCCAACATAACCCCTAACACTGGTCCAGTTAGTCAGGAAGCAGTAGTCTTGCTAAAATATATCAATTACAACACACAGCTGAATTAACCTTCTAAATGTAAAATGATTGTTTTTAAATGACAAAACTGTGCCAAAAGCGCACCATGGTTTTTCAAACCCCCATGATTTTGAGAGAAAGCACTACATAGGGAACAACAATGCCCTGCAGAAAGGTTAAAGGCTGAAGAGCAGAAAGTCTTCATCACGTTTACAAATGTTTTTCCATTCAGCTGTGACCGTTATCTGCGAGACCTACTTCGTGTGTTTTAAGAGTACATTTTTCTCAGCTCGAACCACAGAAAGATGACATATTGGTCTACAAAAACTAAACCAGTCTTTTTTCTTTTTTCGTTTTCTTTCCACTTCCTGTTGACTATTACTCAATTCTTAGTTTTAACAGAAATTATATGCACAAGGACAAAACCAGAATTACAACAAAAACATACAAAGTAAAACCTTGCACCAGACAGTGATGACCATATATTTTATAGACGCAACTTATTGGTCAAGATCATGTCTTGTAATGAAAACTGCAATGAAATTCTGCTTTTTACAAAGAAATATTCCCTACAAGGTGTGTGGTTATGTTTGTCAGATACATTATTAATTATACTTGCAAAAATTTTACTAAACTTTAGCAAGAGGTGAAGCAAAGGTACGAAAAGTGGACAGTTTAAACATACTGATTATATTGGGGATTATATTTGATTATATTTGGGGAGTGGTGGCGCAGAGGTTAGAGAGGTGGGCTTGTGATCCGAAGATCGCCGGTTCACGCCCCGGCCCCGACAACATCAAAATTGTGGGTGGGGTAGGTGAAACACACACACTTGCCCCCACCCTCATTCGCCCCACTCTGGGCCCATGAGCAAGGCCCTTAACCCCCACCATGTGCTCCCTAAACAGGTCTCTCTTGAAAATGAGTTCTCGTGGCTCAATGAGACTAACCTGGATAAATAAAGGCTAAATGAAAAAAAAATATATATATATATTGGAGTATATCTTCATAAAATGCTCTTGTAGATGGACTGGTTTTGGAAAGTTGAACTTGAATTCTTTCAAATTGTTTAATTATGCAGTAAAATCTGGTTGAACTCAGTCTTTTGAAAGGATTTTTCCTTTAAGGGGCGTTATTTCAGTGAGCTGTTAGTATCTGAGTAAACAGCAGAACTGCATTGTACTGGTGGAAATCACCTTGTCAAACAAAAATACACCCAGAGCAGACATACTACCAAAGACTCAAACCATGCAGGCATTTTATATTTTCCTCTTGTCTAAAGGTTTTATATCATCGTTGCTGCCTAATGTAATAATTTGTTTTATTTGAACCCTTTGTGTGAAGTTAACTGGGTCAGTTATTCAACACCAGAAAGGCTGTGTGAGCTTGCATGTTGTCACACTTGTCAATCTTCCCTCCCTGGAATCTGCAACATTGTTGCCATCTGTCATAATCCAAACATGTTTTCAAATGAACACTTCCGAGAAGAACGGCACATTTAACAGTTAGGTAAAATAAGATATACCTGTCAAACTCTATTGGTGGTCGAATCAGCAGTGAGTTTTTCACGAGGGACAAATATGGCTCCTGCTCCTCATAAATGCTCTCAGCATCATACACGGGGCTCGGCTGGGTCTTCCTGCAAGTAGCCGGTGAAGGAGACGGCAACTTTCCCACAAGCACATTCTCATAGTCCGATATCTCATCGTAGATGGCTGAGTTGTCATATACTGGATCTTCTTTGTATCCGGCAGTAAACTCATCTCCATCAACGCTCTGTTCAACCCATATTAGCTGAGGAGAGAGTTTAGGTTCTACCTCGGGATGTTCAGCAAAACGCTGATGTGCATCACGATCCTTGTGCGCACTTCCAATGAAATCAATCACAGTGTGGTATGGATTCTCATCTTCTTTTGTCGTCTTCTTCTTGCGAAGCTTCAAATCCAGGATCCTCCGTAAGGTTTTCCCCTTGTGTCCATCAGAACTCTGTAAGTCAGCAGAAGAAAAGGACTTGGATTTCTTTGTTGGGCTGAAGCGAGAGTGCTTGATGCCTTCACTGGACGTCTCAACTGGTGGTGACGGCAGCTCCCTTGTCATCATCTCCTTCAATGCACCATTGTATAAAGTACTGACTTGCCTGGCCTTGAGGTCTTGGGATTCACCTACTTCTTTCTCCTCAGTGGGTTCATTGAATTGCCTCAAAACCACCGAGCTGTTGTGTCTACGAGGCTTCTTTTGAGATGCTTGACCCGTCCCGCTCACCTCTGCTGCAGGAGTCATGGTGGGAGTCTTGCTGAGCTCCGTCCGATTGAGAAAAGTGCAAGAAGGACTGGGATGCGTTCCCTCCTTATCATCTCTTACTTTCTTCTGCATCTCTTCACTCTTTTTGCCGATAGATTCCTTTATCTTACAGGGCTGCGTGTGCAAAACTTGCATCCTTGCATGCTCCACATCCTCAGATGGTCTTTGAGCAGCAGAGGCGGGTGCTTTTGTAGCATCAGGTTTTTTCCTGGGCAGTGGGGCTGGTGGAGGACAAGCTCTTCTTGCAGACAGATAAACTGGTTGATTGTTCTCACTATCAGGTATGCTGACAGACGGGGATGGGCTGTCCTTTCCGTCTGATGACACAATGCTTTCCCTCCTTTCCTGGATAGAGGTCTCCTCCCTCTCCTTCTCCACCATTTCCTGATGAGACGGAGCAGCTGTTTTGGGTTTTCGTGTTACAGGTACAGGTGGAGGCTTCCGAATAGGTCCTGGGTGTGGTATATGTTGGAGAACATTGGTTTGCTTTGAGCCAAAGCCATCATCTGCTTGTCTTCCTCCTACTCCACCCTGAAGTATTGCATCACTTATCTGATCACTCTGTGTTCTATGAGGAAGAGATGGTCCAGAAGTCTGGTCAGGACTGGTGGTCTCAGAGTCTAGATTTATATTAAATCTTTCATTGAGTTTATGGTTAATGGCACAAGCACTGGTCAAAGAAGAATTTGTCACCTGACACTGAACATTGCCTGGTTTTGCTCGGTTGTTATTCTGTTTGTCAAGCGATAAAGGAACAGTCTTTCCATTTTCTTCTTTTTGGTTGTTGTGAGACGTTTTAAAGTTTTTCTCCTTTTGCTCAACCTTTGGGCTTCTGATGCATGTGCAGTTGTCCTGCCTACAGAGGCAAATAGGAATAACGTAACCCCACTCAGGCCTCTTGCTCGGCCAAACTCCATTCTGTGACTTAAGAAGCCCGTTGGTCTTAAGGGTCTCTGAATCAGAGTTTCCTTGCGGGCTCTCTGAACTCTGGGGTCTTGATTCCACAGCAGTGGAGGGTTTTAGGCAGGGCTTGGGAGCTACTGGGGGTTTAACCTTCCTCTGTATGCCAGGAGACAGGTGTGAGGGGCCATCTGTTCTGGGGGGTTGGGGAGACAGCACTGTCCTCTGGTTGGGGGACTGCCTTGGTTTAGGGGCCAGAGGTGGCTTATGTATACCTGCAGAGAAAGAAAGAAAAGCCAAACAAATGTGGTAGATTGTGTGGAAAAAATAAACATAAAAAAAAAAAATCATCAGATCTCAAAAAGCCAAGTGATAAAAGTAGGTGAATATGATGTAAATAAATATACAGTACACAATAGGAAAATGATTTTCTCTCAGCCCTTCTCATTTGTGGAGTTCCTCAAGGATTCAGTTTGGGTCCTTTGGGTTCTCTTTTAAAAAAAAAAAGCATCAACTTTTCTTGAATTGCTATATTGAAAAAATCTAGGCTTATATTAAGTTATACAATAATCATTAGATGAAACCACTATAACTCAAGTGTTGTTAAAACCTGGATGAAGGTGAACTTTCTTAATCTTAAGCTAAATAAAACAGAAGAAATAACTTTAAAATCCCTCAACCATTCTCCTGGCACTTTTGATTCTTTCAGCTACCTTTACTGTCAATACCATTATTATTTATTTGCTTTATTTTTCCTTTTTAAGCACTAATCCTAACTTAATGTACAACCACTTGTTCATGGGGATTTAAATATCACATGGCTTTTGTTTGTCACTCCACACACCAGCACAACAACCCAGCTGATGGCTCGTGTCTACAAGCAGAGGAGCAGATCACAGATGGAGTTGAAAAAAGAAAGAAAGGCGTTTGTGAAATTCATGAAAACTGGTACATCTGGATGAACTACTGCCCTAAAATCTTTTATGGAGGCCAAAACACTGTAACCTGCTGACAGAAAGGGATGTTGTTTTTACACATTCCCCTGCTCATTAGGCCACAGTCTGAACAGCTGACTGTCCTTCAAGTTTAGGAGAAGAAGGAAAAACTACATGGAAGTGTGACAGAACTCATCTGTTCGGTTGACTTTAGTCAATTGTATGAGATAAAAAAAATCTTTAAAAACTCAAGTGGATTTTTTTTATTCCCCTGAGGCAATTTTCTTTTTACTGCCAAATAAAACCCAAACTGGCAACATACACTTCTTCTTTAGTGCTGATCTGTGCTGTTGTTTTTATTAATATTATGTTTAAGTTACAAAAGAACAAACTCGTAAATGATCCTCGAGTACTTGTCATTTCCAGCTTCATGGACTGTTTCTGCTCAGGCGAGGCTGCGCTCACAAACAAATCATTTACAAGAGGAGTCGAAGAGAAGTTACTTTACCTGCTGAGCTCATCCTGGCTTCCTTTACTGCTCCTTTCATACACTACAGCACAAAAGCCGCCTTCATCGTGTCCGGACACACTGCTCAGTCCGCTCACCTGGCTTAAAAATCGACATTTTTCTTTTACAGGAGAGTTGCGATCCGGTTCGTAGCAGCCAACGAGTAAAGCAGCTGCAGCTGCTGCCACCTGCGGTGCGTCATCAATCAACTTCCCCCTGCTGTTCCTACAATGGCCACCAGGTGTCCCCAGAGAGCGCACACTCCCTGATACAAAGCGCAACAAAAAGTGTGGAAAAGTTCACCTGAAAACGGTCACGTGACTGGAAATGATAAATCATTTTATTTAAATTGAGCTAGTAAATATGTGTAAGAAACAGTCCACTACTAAAATAAATAAGAGAACTTATTTCAAATAAAACTTTCATATTGCTCACTCACAGCTTCACAGGAATTTTCCAGTGTCACACAGACACATCTTTCCAGTTACATCATTTTGAATATTACAACCAGGGTGACTAAGGTGCCTAAAATATAAGAGGAGCACTTTTGTGTAACATGCTATGAATGTAGAGGAAATTACTCTTTTAAAAATGTTCTTTACCAGCAAAATTTTCATCATGCTTCATCAAAGTCACCAGACTGATCAGCAGATATTTGGTACAGGAAGAATGACAGATAGTGATTGAAAAGAAAACTATAGTGATGGCATTTTCTGCAAAAATGCAGTGGGTATGCTGACTTCTGTATGACTTTGCTGTAGTTTGCTGAATAAGATAGTAGTAAAAAAAATTAGTTGAGCTAACAGCAGAAAAATGTTTAAAAGTTGAAAATAAAAAACCCTAGGTAAAAAAGCAAAAACAATAAAACAAGCTGAATGCTTGATACAAACTCAAAACACTAGAAACAAAAACTAAAATAGATAAATACTAGCTAAAGAAGATAAATCCTACTTGGGTGGGCCTGTTATCGGAGGGTCAACTCCCCGGTTCATCTCCCTGGACTGACAACATCAAAATGTGGGTGGAAAAGGTGAAACACCCGCATCTGCCTCCACCCTCATTTGCCCCACTCTGGGCCCATGAGCAAGGCTCTACAGTACAGTAGTACCTGGTTTATCGTTGGGGATCCATACCCTGAAGCCTCACGATAAGAGAAAAACATGTGAAGTAAGAATAATAGTACAAGTAGCAGTTTATTTTAGTATTTAAAAAATAAAATAAAATATATATAAATATATATATATACACTCTTATAATATTCTAAACAATGTTTCTAAATACTCTAAAAGAGCACAGAATGTCATGATTTCAGCTCCCTGCCTCCAGCTATTTTCTGCCAGTGCTCTCGGCAAAGCCCACTTCTCTGCTGCAGAGCGGAGTTCATCACACGCTGCAGGAGGAAGCTTTGTCTGCAATGTGGGCTGCACACAGGTGCAGCAGGTGCTAAATAATTTGAAATAATTTATTTTAAATAAAAATCCCATGCAGGTCGTGCGGATCACCCATCAATCAGCCAGTTGGGTGTCATGTCCAATCTTACTTTGAAGTACCACGACAGAGCGAGTCCGCGATAAACGAACCACGAAGTAACGAGGGACTACTGTACTTTAATACAAAAAGTAACATTTTGTACCCATCCATCCATTATTTTTACCTGCTTTTTCCTTTTCAGGTTGCCAGGGTCATTGGTGCCCATATCCAGCAGTCCCTCTGAGAGAGGCGGGGTCCCCCTGGACAGGTCTCCAGTCCATCACAGGGACACAGAGACAAACAACCATTCACTCTCTCACTCACACCTAGGGACAATTTAGAGTTACCAATCAGCCTAACATGCATGTTTTTGGTCTGTGGGAGGAAACCGGAGTACCTGGAGAAAAGCCACACATGCACGGAGAGAACATGCAAACTCCACTCTGAAAGGTCCGTCTTGTGGGTTGCAAGATTGAATTAAGGTAAAAGTAAGCAGACACATGGATCAGCTTCAGTTTTCCTGTTTACTTTCTCTTTCACTCTTCCTCTTGTTCCTCTCTGTAAAGAATATTTTAAACTTACAGTCTTAGACCACCCTCTGGTACCCTTTCTATGCAATAACACAGTTCAGTTTCAACAGCAGAACACAACAGTCCCCGCCCCGGACCAGGATTTGAACCGGTGCGACCTTTTCACCAAGAGGCAGCAGCTCTACCAACTGCACCACCGTGCTGCACCACTTTTTTTTCTTCTTTTCATTAACAGTTTAAAATGAACATGTTATGTTAACACAAACAAAAGTTCTGAATGAAAATGAGTAGTGTGAAGAAAGCAATCGTATATAGTCTACCCCTTCTCCCACAAGTCAATCTACTACACCACGAGCACCCAAGCATCAATCAACCATCCATAGACACATCTTTGAACACAAAACAGGAAATGTGTAAGTTTAAAGAAGGAAACAAAGACATTATCTTTGTTACAGCACTCTACATTATATTTGCTTCTTTCTTCAGAAGCACTCAGTTTTAGGTTGTTTCCTGCTGTTGTGCTGCTTCTGAGGGGCTGAATGCTTCCATGGCTGCAGGACTTTTTATAGTATTGCTGAAGTTTAAAAATAAGAAATAAATAATAAAATCAGCTTCTGTAGATTTAAATGTGTTATGCTTTGTAACAGGTAAATGAGAGAAGATTATAGTACCTGAATTTATAGTCTGACGGGAGACTCACACCTAATCTATAATCTCTCCTGCTTTTGGAGATTTGCCTTTGAAAGTCCCAGACTGAGCAGCTGTCATCACTGGATATGAAGCCCACTGACAGCAGCTGTCCTCGGATGTACATCTGGAGAAGTAAGAGGAAATGAAAAAATAAAATAAAACACCTCCACTGTCACATTATTATTCCTGATCAAACCAAAGGAGTTATATTTTATCGTACTTGCAGATGTGTTGCATTGGGTTGATAAGACAAAATATATGATCATTGATTTTAGGAGGAAACCTCACAAGCACCAAGTCACTTTAATCAAAAGCCGAGCTATTGAGAGAGTGCAGTCTTACAAATATCTTGGGACAGTCGTAGATGACGAATGAAACTTTGAAACCAATTTTGACAAAGTGTGTAAGAAGGCCCACCAGCGTTTATTTTGTCTAAGGAAACTCTGTCAATTTAATACTGACTGAACCATGATGACCATGTTTTATTGTGCTTTTATTGAATCAGTTTTATTTTTCTCCTTGGTCTCATGGTTTGGTCAAGCAACGCTGAAAGAAAAGAGTTCCCTGCAGCAGGTTGTTAAGCTGTCGTCTAAACTGGTCGGAGGACTCCAAACATCACTTACATCCCTGTACATTAGCCAGGTACAGCGGATAGCTTCTTCTGTTATAAAAGATGTTTTTGACTCCCTTCACAGGGAGTTTCAGCTTCTTCCCTCTGGTCGGAGGTTTTCAGTCCCTAATGTTCCTACTGCTGTTACTGAAATGAACAAACTGAACTGACACCGGTGTTCTCAGTGTTTTAACAGATTTTTATCTAATGATAAACTAACATTTAATATATTTTCATACCAGTTGGATTTTAAAGTTTTACTCTCCTCTTTTATGTCCTACTTTGCTTTGAATATGATTGTGGAGCCTTTAGCA